GTTTCAGTATTGTATTATACTAAAGATTTTCTAAGCTCACTCAAGTGCCTTAGAATTACCAACTTTAATATTTTTTCCAAAAATACCATTTTTAAAAAACTATCAAAAAGCTTCTTTTGTATTTTTTTCCTGTCAAGGAAAATGATAGTATTTTACAAGTATAGTCCTATTTTATATAAAAATTTCTGCATAAAGTCGCACCCTATTTCTTAATTTTAGAAGGTGTTGGTGAAACTGCAAATTGATGCTAGGATACTGCAATATGGCACAGATGAGGCAGATATTTGAACTCAGTTTTCATTTGAATTTCTACATCAATATTCTCTCTATATATGTATACACATACATATATGTATATAAAATTTCATGATCATATTTGTATACTATTTTTTAAAAGAGTTTTTGCCATAGGGCACATGCTGTTGCTGGAGAAAGAAAAAGTGAGAAATCAACCCCCCAGGGGGATGACTCTGCTGCAATCCCTTCTCCACCATTCTCCTCTCAGGATTTTGGGCATGTACGTACACACGCCCAGGGTGATTTTCAAGCCGTAGATACAGTCAGTCATGTGAGAGTCCAGCACCTTAACCAGTATGCCACCTGCTGGTCCCTTATGTGTATATTTCTTTAATCACATAAAAATGCATCCATTTACAGTTTTTTAGTGATATACATATGTATATATTAAACATAGCATTACATCTTGTCACTGCTTCTGTCTGTATAGATTTATTTTACAGGACTAAAGAAATATGTTAAAATAGTTATATATCAGTTATTACTGCATTAATATGTTTGATTATCCCTAATTTCTCCTAAAATTTAAATTGGCTTATGAGAATATTTAAATTTAACTAGGTAACTTAGTAGGTTTGCAAAAGGACAAAGAAAAGGGTAGAGATCAATTGAAATCAGGAAGAAAATGAGAAATGAAAAGCACCGTTATATTTTTTTTCAGTTCTGAAGGCTCTCTATTAAGTCTGTGTATGACACATTTCCCCTTCCCTCCGGACTGTGTAGACTTCATATTCTTCTAGTATCTTTGCCAAAAAAAAAAAAGAAAGAAAAATTAGCAGTCCTGTCACCCCATCATCCCAGGAATTTGCAGTGACAAATGCAAGTTGTATGAGAACTGATGCTAAATACGTTGAAGAAGGCCTTGCAGCTGTTGCAGTAATGGCCTTCCATCCTGCCATGAACATGCCATAAATTTAGCTGTGAGTTTTCCAGTTCACACAATTCCTAAAGTCCATGAGGTAAAAACACACTAGTTGTTCAGGTGAAATGTAACTATGCTTAAAAGAGGAGGACAAGAAACTTCTCCTATGAGTCTTCCTAAAAGAGAATACCATCTAATGAACAGTGTCTTCAGCAATATCCTTAAGATACTCAGTAGATAATTTGACCTATTTTATATAGAGATAGCACTGTAACCAAATGCAGCTCAGAGCTTTCTCTTGCTATGGCCTGTTTGAAGTGTGTTCAGTATTTCTGTAATAGTTGATGAACTGTCTATGCTTCACGCTTCAAGCTGTTCTCTAGTGTTTTTGTTTTTCTGACATAAGATTTCTTAATTATTGACCATCAGTATATTCTACATTACTCTTTCTGGGTAATGGCATGAAGTGTATGAGTAGTTTCTTGGAAATTGTGTACAAATTTATTACCTTCAAGAGATGGTAGAGGTAGAATTAGCATCTTCCTGTTAATGTTGCATGAGAAAAAAAGTACATTTTACTTCCATTGTTAGGCCGTCAGTATAATACCTACTAGTAGACTCAGGATTGTGCTAAGAAGGTTATCTTGAATGTACATCAAGACAGAAAAACTAGAGGATGGGGATTATGATTCATACAACCTCACAGAATTAGCAGTAGTCTGGGGAAAGAAACCTAAAGCAACGTTAAGCAGATGTATTCTTAAGCTGTAGTAATATCATGCAGAGCATGCATAAAAGGGCCAGTTTTGATTAATGCTACAAGTATGACAGTAATTTGTAAAATTTTCACAGAGATAATGAATGGAATGAAGCCAGATGGTGGCACAGCCCCAACAAAACTTGACTCACGTAGGAAAATCCTCAGTTCACATCCGGAGACCTCCCTGTGCACACTGGCTACAGCACAGATGCCGTGATCTGGACTGGCAGAGGCTAGGGGTGGATAGTGGTGTGGAAACCATATTGGGAATGTCTGTCTGTCTGTCTTTCTCCTTTCTTCTCTCTCATGGAAGAAGTAAATAGATGGACTTAAAAAAAAGATAACTACAGGAAGCAAAAGAGTTACTTTAATATTAGAATATCTCATTTGTATCTCATTTCTAGTAACACTTATCTGGCAAGGTCTGTTGTCTGCTCTGTCATCCTTTCTTCAACATAATTAAATTACATCAACTGCATATAAAATCAAACATCTTTCATTTCTCTGTTCAGATGACCCATAGATGAAGTGAAAGTTTATATTAGTTTTTATTTCATTACTGAGCAATTAATTCTCTTACTTCAAAAAAAGTAGAAAAGAAAAAAAAGCCTTCCTGTACCAAAGAAGACTAAATATTTCTGTAATTTTGTATGTGTAAAACAAATTTTGTACTTGAAAAATTATTTCCTATATTATTATAGTGTTCAATTAGAACATTGTAGTGTTCATACTAATTCAATTGAACTATACTTTCAAAAATATGCTATTGAATTTTAATTATATTAAATGTAAAATTTAATATAACTTTATATATTTCAATAATAAAGTATGATAACTTTAGATTTTTTATTTCTGAACCTTCCCATTATTATGTTAGTTTAAAAAAAATACTAAATTTAATAAAAGTACTAAATAGTTCATTTTTAAAAACATTTTAAAGTTTGTTTATTTCTTCCATGATATGTAGTCATCTTACAGTCCTTTCTCTCCAATTTTTCCATCTCGTCAGGAATTTGAATACACATCCACATACACTTGGTGTATTTTTTAAACCACCAGAGCAAGGGTTTGAACCATGCAGTCACCCATATGGGATCCAGTTCCCTTAATCACCAGGCCATGAAGCCAGCTCCTAAACGGTTAATTTTATCATTCTCAAATATGAAGAAATATAATCAACAAACATAAATCATCTTCATTTTATTTTTTGCAATGTTTGATCCATGAGAATTATGAGGACTTAAAATTATTCCTTTTACTATAAAAGTATCATTCTTGGGAGTTTTCCTTTTTTTAGTCAGTATTAAGATCTTATTTTTATTTTTCTTCACTTCTGTCCAGCTTTGTAATTTGTTGAACGCAGCATTAGACTTTAAATTTGCTTTTTATGGTGTGAATTAACCAGTATATTTTTAATCTGGTAAGAAAAAACTATTTCTGAGAGTATATAAAGCTAATATGATCAACTAGGCAATTATATAAACCTAACACCTGGTCTTCCACCTTACTTTCTATTTCATAGCATTATAAAGATAAATCCTCTAGAGAATGGTACGTTCTTTGATGTCATTGCTATTGTCGATCCATTGACAAGAGGAGCACAGAAGATGGCCCAGTTATTGGTGGTAAGAAAATATAAACTAGACTACATAATCTTTTCAAGTGTGTTTTCAAGTATAATTAAATATTTATGCTCTTGAGCCTTTAACATCTTAAATCAATTTTCATATTTCTGTGTGGAAAATAAAATAACAGAACTGTGCACAGGGCGTGACTGCAGTTCCAAGATGAGGTGTTACTGTGGGCTGAGTTGTGTCCCCCCCAAAATTTGTGTTTCAACATATGAAATACATTTCAGTGAGTTTCATGCACTAACCTCCAATGGGACTTAGCTGAGATAGGCCCTTGGAGGTAATTAAGTTTAAGGATGAGTCCCTGATCTAGTAAGACTAGTGACTTTATAAGAAGAGGACAGAAAAGAGAGAATTTTTTCCTCGAGCCTATGAAAAGGAGGTCAGATGAGCACACTGTGATGTGGCAGCCACCAGAAAAACTTAGAGACCTCTCAACAGAATCTCAACTGGCCAGCACCTTAATCTTATAATTCCCAGCCTCCGAGACCAAGGGAAAATGAATTTCTCTGTTTAAGTCAGTCAGTCTATGATACTTTGTTATGGCAGCCCAAGCAGACAAACACAGGTGTCTCCTTGTGCCGTGCAGAAGGGAAGCTGATGCTTAGGCTCAATTAAGTAAAAAGCTTAAACTACAATAAATAACATTAGGTGAATGAACACGTCAAGTGGAAGAAAAGGGGCACATAGTGACTCTGGTAGGTTTGCCCACTTTAGCGAACGATCCGTAATAGTACCTTCAGCAAGGGTCTTCCACCCAGCCAGTGCCCCAAGTGTCAGCCACCCAGGGTTGCCCTGCCTGAGGGCCTCAGGCACCATCTGTTTCATCACTCAGCCGTCCCTATGAAGTACTTTCTGTCTACTAGTTTAAGATGATCAGTAGGGGGACCAGCAGATAGTGTAATGGCTATGTCACTGGACTCCCACGTAGTCGACCGTGGTTCGCGTCCCGGACCCAGTGGCTTAAAACTCACACTGGGCGCGTGTGCGTGCGTGCCCAAGCTCCCAAGAGGAGAATGGAGGAGAAGGGATTGTGGCGTGGCCATCCCCCCTTGGGGTGTGGTGTGTGATATCTCGCTTTCTGTCTGTCTGTCTCTCTCTGTCTTTCTGGCAAGTGCACGCGCCCTATAGCAAAAAACTCTCCAAAAAAAAAAAAAAAAGATCATCAGTCAGACTCCTAAATTTGCCTCTGGCTCTCTCCCAGCAGGAAAGGGAGAACAAGGGCACCACTCAAAGTCACATGTAGCTCATTGTATCACTTTTAGGGGAAGAGGAACCGGGAAATTTAGCCACAAGCCCTTCATAGGCCTGGACATTCTTTCTCTATGAAAGTAGAAGAAAATGAATGTTCGGTAGTAGCTGTCAGTCCCCAATTTATGTGGCTCACTGGTTTACCAAGAATTTCAAACATTAAAATTTTAACACGGCTTTCAGTACTTAAATCTGAACAACCTATCGATAGTTACATTAGATTGTGATATGTTTTCTTGTGTTGTTTGAAATTTCAGAATACCTCTATTTAAAATTATTCAATGCTTTTTTTCTTAGGCACATTTAAAAATATATATTCTCAGAAGTGGGAACTATTTGTTCTTTGGCTGTCAACCTTATTTTTGGAAACAGGCAAACATGGGTAGGCTTAGCCTTGGAGGTGCAGGCAGTGTTATACCGATCTGCAGTGCTAGAAGCCACATGGGTGGCGTCGGTGTAAATACCAAGTTGACCTACAGCATGCCTAGCATGTGCATACCCAATATACCAACTACCTGGAGACTGGAGAAAGGGAATTGAGGCACAGCGAGACTGTTGAGGATTCTGTCTCTGTCTCGTGTGTGCATGCACACTCTCTCACACGCTCTCTTTCATGAAAAAAATAATAATTAGATATTAAGTGTGATGAATAATGTTAATAATAATTTAATATAATCAAACTGGGTGATACTGGTGTTATAGTCTATCAAAATTTCAAAATATGACTTTTGTCAGAAATTAGCTTGCACTGCCAATCATGTTTGGAAATGGAATTATAAAGATCTGTTACATGGGCAGCAGGTGGCGTGGTGGTTAAGGCGCTGTACTCCCACCTGACTGACCATGATTCAAGTCCCGAACCTGGCAGCTTGCTTTCTGACTTTCCCTCTCTGTCTTACTCTGGCCAAATTAAAAGATAATAATGATTATGATGAATAAAATTAAATAATTACTTTTTTAAAAAGATCTGTTATAAATGTTTATTAATACAGAAGAATAGTTTTCGGGAAGATTTTGCTATTCTAGCTCTTAAACATGCTAAGAACTTTTTTAAAAGTTCATGGAAAATGCGCATTATTTAAAAGTATATAGATTTAAAAAGATTTTCTGCACAAAAATTAACTAGTACTTTCTTTTAATTACCAGAAGGTGCATGCCCTCGCCAGAGAGAGAAAGCATCCCCAACAGAGCATGGTCAGGCTACAATTGTTTTATCTCCATTTATCCTTCCCATCAGGATTTTGGACATGCATGCATATGTGCCCAGCATGTTTTGCAAGCCAACGATGCCAGGATTTGAACCTCAGCTTGCTATGTGGTATCTGGTCCCAATGCACAGGACTAAACCACTGAGCTACAGGCTTGCCATAAACTCATTCTTTAATAATATTTTTCCACAAACTTTTTAGTTTTTTCTCCTACTACTAATATTCCAGGAAGATAAAAAGAAAAAGTATTTCTGGGGGCAGAAATAGTGGTTACATCACTGAACTCCCACATGGCTAACCATAGTTTGAGTCTCACACCTGGTCGCTTGAAAATCATGCCAGGCACATGTGTGTGCATGCCCAAGATCCTAGGAGGAGAATGGAGAAGGGATTGTGGTGTGGCCGTCCCCTCTGGGGAGTGAGTCACTTTCCCTCTCACTGTCTGTTTCTCTGGCAAGTACATGTGCCCTAAGGCAGACACCTCTATAACAAAAGGAAAAGAGCTCACCTATATGTAGCCAAAGACTTCCTGTATCTTCTTAAAATCAGGGGTAAAATTTCAAAAAGGAACAATGTAGCCAGTGTGGCTGTGAAGTCATTTTGTATTTGCTGATCAGGGTTCTGGGAATTACGTATTTTGCTTGTGTTTCAGTACTGAGGAGGTTTAGAATCCATGAAAGAAAGTCTCTTCAGGCAAAAGCTAGGCAGCACAACCCTGGGTCATTGAAATCATCTGTTTGGGTTCAAATCTTCTGCTATGATTTATTCTGTGATCTTGGGAAAATTACTTAAAGTCTCTGTGCCTTAACTGCGAAAGTACTCCCTCAGGGGGACATTGTGAAGATCAACTGAGATAGTGGATATAAAGCGTTAACCCAGTGCCTGGTCCATAGTTAATGCTCAGTAAGTGTTAGCTGTCTATGTTATTCAACATCAAATATGGAAATTTCTTATAGGTACTTGGCAAGGTTATCAACATGAAGATAAGGTTGTTCATGAACTCTAGGGGTAAGCTTTCAGAAGCCCCTTTACAGAGGTAAGTCTGAATGAACATAATTTTGTTTTGAGAGATTTGCAAATGCTCAGAAAAGGAAAAAAAAAAGGGGGTTATTGTTACTAGATCTTATTTTTTATTTCTGGCACAAGAAACCTCACTGAAATAGACTGGGCCAGTTTATTAGCCTTCATTGATATAAAACTGATGTAATATTAAAATAATGTGGGGCCATCCAGTGGCATGATGATTAAGGTAACTGGATTCCACAGGGCTGACTGTGATTCAAGCCCCAGATCTGGCGGCTTGAAAATCATCCCAGGCGCATGTTCATGTGTATGCATGCTCAAAATCCCAAGAGAAGAATGGAGGAGAAGGGATTGTGGCGTGACCATCCTTCTCTAGGGGGTGATTTCTCACTTTCCCTCTCTCTGTCTCTTTCTGTCTCTCTCCATCGAGTGCCCATACCGTAGGACAAAAAAATTTAAAAATGAATAAATCTAATTCAGTACCTTCATCCAATTTAACTGCATGATTTATAGAATTATACTTATTTTGGAAACATGCTCTAAAAATATCTACTTAAAAAATCATTGGGGGTTGGCAGGTGGTGTGGTGGTTAAGGTACTGGATTCCCACATGCTGACCATAGTTCAAGTTCTGGACCTGGCAGTCCCAAATCCCTCTTGCTTTATCACTTTCTCTCTCTCTCTCTCTCTCTCTCTCTGGTCAAGTTAAAAAAAAATAAGAAGAACAAATAAGGTTAAATAAATCTTTTTAAAAAAATAATTGAAAAAAGAAATTTATCAATGAGATAGAAGGTTAAATTAAATCATTTTTGGTTCAGCTATCCTTTCAGTACCTATTCAGAGCTGAATTGTCAAAATGATCTTTCTTATATTATCACATTTACCATTTTATGACATTCGGATATAGTTACTATAGAATAATCGATCAATGATCTAGGAAATGTTGCTTGTCATTATAAATGAATATTCCTTTTAATACTGCTTTGTTGAAATAATACTGCTTCATTTCTCAAGTGAAGGTAGAAATATACTCTTTCTCTTATTTTGGATCAGTGTCACTTTCACTGTAAGCTACTCCCACTGGAAGGAATATTTAATATCCTTTAGGTGTCATTGGGTAGAAAAAAGGGCATGAGCCTTTGGACTAGTATGGCTTTCTAAGGTTTGTTAACGTGCTTATTCTTATAATTTAACTGTGTAACTAATCAAAAAAGTAAACACCATGTATGCACATGTAAGGTAGAAAAGTAGCAATCAGTTCATCCTTGATTTAATTTCAGTGTGTGTTTTTTATCATTAATATGCTATGGATTTTTGCCTTCAGCAGATACTTTAAATAGAGTATTGTTTTTTTAATTTTTGCAAAGCAATAAAATGGAAAATGTAGAAAATTTAAATGAAAGTTTGCGGTTTGTTCCTTGCCCCCCTGGAACTTTTATACTTATCCTATATTCAGTTTTACATTTTTCATTTATCCTTTGTATTTCAAATATTACTACATTTATGCATGGATTTCTAAATCTAAACAAAAGCTTTAAACATTTCAACCACTACTTGGGAAGTCTGTTAGTTTCATGAGTATAGAATATTTTTTCACAGGGGTGGGGGTCCTTCCCATAGTATTTTTTTAAATCTTTGTAAATATATATGAAAGAGTAGGGGCATTGAATATATAGACAAGTAATCTATACAACTTGACTTCTCTAACTGAATACCTAATATTCTAGAGTATATGGTAAAGATATGCTAGTTCAGCAGTATCTTACTGAGAAGCTTCTATCAAGCAAACTAACTTTCATCATTACTCTTAGTTCTTTTCTTTTTTATAAATATTGTCTCTTCTCAGAGATGAGAAAGGTTATGGGCAGGAATTCTTTCAACCTCCTACTCCCTCCCTTACCCCAGCTTTCAGAAGAACAAGGTTTCTCTCCCTTTTTTCAGTTTGTTGTTTGTTTTTTGGCCAGAGAGTGCATGTACTCCCCAGAGAGAGAAAGAGGGGGAAAAGCACCCTGCAGTTGGGCACGGTCAAGCAGCAATCCATTCTCCTCCATTTCTCCATCCTGTTGGGACTCTGGGCTTGCATACAAATGCATTGACGTGCCTCCCAAGCCAGGTAGAGATTAGAACCACGTGGTCAGCCACATGGGACCGGGTACCCTTAACCACCAAGCCTAGGGCCAGGCCTCTCCTCTTTAGAAAGGTAAATATTTTCTCCCTATTTTGATACCATGCTTTCTCATTTGTTCTAGATCCTTCCTTTATTGTGCGTTCCCTCTTTTCCATATCTGTAGCTTCTCCACTCCTTTTCCTTTCAGTCTTTAAAGGTATTTATTTAAAAACAAATTGCTCCCCAAGGCAGCCCTGTTACCTACTGGTTAAAGGTGACAGTTCCTACATAGCCAGCCATGGTTTGAGCCTCTGCCCTGGCAGCTTGGAAAACACCAGGCCTATGTGTGCTTGCCCTGAAATCCTGACAGGATGGAGAAATGGAGATGAGATTGAAGCGTAACCACACCCCATGCGGGGGAGGTACTTTCTCTCTCTCATTGTCTCTCTAAGAAAGGTAAGTACACTTGAAAAAAATTTTTTTTTTTTTTTTTTTTTGTGGAGAGATTTTCGCTATAGGGCGCATGCGCTCGCCAGACAGACAGAGAGAGACATAGAGACAGAAAGCGAGAAATCACCTCCCAGGGGGGATGGCCATGCCGCAATCCCTTCTCCTCCAGTCTCCTCTCGGGATCTTGGGCATACATGCACATGTGCCCAGGGTGAGTTTAAGCCACTGGGTCTGGGACTCAAATCACAGTCGACTACGGGGGAGTCCAGCGACATAGCCATTGTACCAACTGCTGGTCCCAACCATTGGAAATTTTTTTTTTTTTTTTTTTTTTTTTTGTGGAGAGATTTTCGCTATAGGGCGCATGCGCTCGCCAGACAGACAGAGAGAGACATAGAGACAGAAAGCGAGAAATCACCCCCCAGAGGGGATGGTCATGCTGCAATCCCTTCTCCTCCATTTTCCTCTCGGGATCTTGGGCACGCACGCACACGCACCCGGCATGAGTTTTAAGCCACTGGGTCCAGAACGCGAACCGTGGTCGACTACATGGGAGTCCAGCGACATAGCCATTACGCTAACTGCTGGTTCCCCCAACCATTGGAAATTTTTAAAACTTACTTAATTTCCTCTCCTCTAGAGTACTGATTTTTTTTCCTCTTCTTTATTCCTCCTATCTAAGCTTCTTCAAAGAACGATCATACTCTTTTTTTGTCTCTCATTCACCGTACTTCCCACTACAACTTGACTTTAACAACTTCTTTGACATTAAAATTATTTTCACTAAATCACAAGAAATTGCTATTTGCAATGTGAGATACCTCATTCTTGACATTTCTGCTGCATTTGACAGTACCACACACTGATTTTGCACTGTGATTCTTAACTTTTTCTCTGTCAGACTGTATGATATGGCTTCTAAGTAGACACTGCTGCCTGGAATTCACACTGAGTGCCAGCTCTGTCGAGAGAGGGCTGGACTTCGTAACTTGCTTCTCATAAACAAATTCAGCCAAATGCTAGCGAGGAACTGCAGCTCTTATTCCAAAAACCTTGAGGAGCTGGATGAGCCAGGAAGTAGATGTCTGCCCCATTCGAGTTTGAGAGAACTACCCCACAGTTGTCACCTTAATTGCAGTCTCCAAATAGTAAAAGTCAGTATTCTTTTTTGCTTATTTGTTTTAGAGAAAGTTTTGCTATAGGGTGTAAGCACTCACCAGACAGAGAGAGACAGAGAGAGTGTCAGTTTTAAGTCACCAGGTTTGGTACTTGAACCGCGGTCAACTACGTGGGAGTCCAGCAATGTAATCATTATGCTGTGTGCTGGTCCTAAAAGTCACTATCCTTAGTAATATAACTAACTTATGCTTGCTGTTGAGAGAGAAGGCTGAACTATAGTAAAACTACAGGTAAGTCTACAAGCTCTCCTGTAATTACAGCTAGAATTTCATTTGTTTTATGGCATTTCTCTTCATATCATTAATAATGGTTAGAATAATAAAATACATGAAAACTAGGTCACGTTCAAATTTAAAAAGGATCGAACTACTAGAACCTGTAAAAGTTAGGTATATTTTAAAAGGGATTCTAATCATGTTAAGAAATAATCAACAAGGGATACCTAATGTGTATAGTCTTATAATAGATAATAATGTTTACCAAATAATTTGTAAGCATTACTCTTCTACAGTATTTTCAGTCTTTTTCCATTTAAAACTTTTTGGCCATGTCATTAAACTATTTTCAATCTTCAAATATTAGAAAAAAATTATCTCAGTTTTTGTCACAGTGTGTATTTTTTTGTTTTATCAACAGCTTTTACCGTTTTGTTCTGGAACCAGAACTGATGTCAGGGGTCAATAATGTTCCGTCTCTTGGACCAATGGCAAAGTTCCTGGATATCCCTGAATCACCTCTTCTGACCCTCAACATGATTACTCCAGAAGGCTGGTTGGTTGAAATCGTACACAGCAACTGTGACCTTGATAATATTCATCTAAAGGATGTAAGTGATTGTATAAAGTCATATAAAGAGAAAGCATAAGAAAATATTTTTTGACTCTTCTTCTTTATGGTTCTAGGTCCTGAACCAGTTTTGCTTTTTAAGTTTCCCTAGCTTCCAAATTCACCATCTCTAGTGTTCCAGGTTCCTCAGTACCTTTGTCTCTTTTTTTTTTTTTTTCTTCAGACCACTAGCTCACAAAGACTACTTTAAGATGACCAGTGTAGGAAATACGGAGTTGGATGCATGGCAACTTAGAACAGCATCATTAAGTACCTACTTTGTCCTTCAGGTTTAGTTTTTAACTCATAGAAGTTTTGTCTGAAAAACATTTTTTTTTCTCCTAATCAGAGAAATCAGTCCTAACTAGATCACAGTAGAAAACTGGTAACAAAATTTCAGTCTCCAGATAGTCAATAGTCACTCTTTTCACTGTTGACTACTGTCACTATTAGCTGGCATACTGGAGCTAGGTACAGCGGCTTTCTCTCACCTCCAGGTGACCTTGTCTAGTGAAGAGTCACACTTCATGTCCCCCCCCCTGTTTTCATTCAGTCCACGCAAAAAAAAAAAAAAAAAAAAAAAAAGAGAGGAAGGCGAATATTTTAAAATAGACTGAATCTTTAAAAGTATTAAATTCCAAATGAGAAAAGGGATTCAGAAATCACTAAATGACTAAGTAAATAGAATAATTTTAGGAGAGTTTACATAAGATCGATATCCAAAAACTGAGAAGAAGATACTTCCTTCTTTTCATTGTCTTCTTTTCTGACTTATTTCTAACTCTCAGTGTTTAACATCTCCTTTAGGATGTAGCCAAGTCATTGCCTTGACTGAAGCATAAAGCTGTAATAATTTGGTTAAGATTATTCATAATAATTGTTTTCTATAGTGATCATATGTTATATTTTGTCTAAGGATTTTCCTTCTAGGCAAATGTCTTTTGATCTACTCATAAGTAAATTCTGTAGGATCACTAACCTGTCACATGTTCACCAGTACCCCCAACTTGCCCACCTAGAAAAGAATTCCCCCAAAAAACCCCAAGACTCAGTCATAGTTATCATCCAAAAATCTGTCTTTCAAATTAAAGAAAATAATAGGAAGACAGGAAAGTAATAAATTGAGGATAGATGTAGATATGGCCTTGGAAGAAGTAAAACAGCAGTAACAGAACTTTTTGTTTTCTCCACGATCAGTCAGATCTCTTACGGTGTCTATTGAATTCTTCATGAAGATAGTGTAGTAAAATATATCTGTAAAGGAGAATGAGAACAGCTTAGAAATCATTTCAGATCTAATCTGCTGGTGAAAATTTTAGCAGCCATTAATCAATTAAAGATTAAAAGCATTTTCTTGTAGTGAGTAGCAAATCTAGTACAGATTGAGAATCCCTAATCCAAAAATCTGAAATAACTCCACAATCAGAAACTTTCTGGGCACTAACATGGTTCCATAAGCGTAAAATCTACACCTGACCTCATGTAATAGGTCACAGTCAAAATAATGTATAGAATTACTTTCAGAATATTTATGTAAGGTGTATATGAAATACAAATGAATTTCAAGTTTAGACTTAGATCGCATCCCCAGAAATGTCATTATATATATGCATATATTCCAAATTCTGAAAAAAAAATGAATTTTGGAATTCTTCTAGTTCCAAGCAGTTAGGATAATGAATATTCAGCCTTGTAGTTTCTTAAGAAGGTGTTCAAATGAACAGAAATTCTGGCTCTAAAGTTAGAATACCAAAAGGAAATAATTTTTTATGTCTTCATAGATTTTTTGAATAAACAGAAGGAAATTGTAAATCTGGAAAAGTTAACCACCTCTCAGCTTAAGCTCTTCTTTTCAATTGTGTATTTTATATATTTAGAATATTACCTGCAACTACTCTAGACAAATATGACAAACAAAATAATTTGCTAGAATAGAAAAAAAAAGGACTTTTAGGTGATAGGATAAAGTACACCCAAGGCAAAGATGAGATTAGCAAGGAAGGATTTGTCACTGTACACGACTTTGCACACATGCTCATTGCTACATCTAATTCTTGTAGTGAGTAGCAAATCTAGTACAGATTGAGAATCCCTAATCCATAGACACCTGGAAAGAAAAAAAAAAAAAACTTAATGTAGAAAAATTCTTCTTAGTAGGATTTTATGCACATAATTATAACTACAGAACTTCATAATACAACCAGTATTTATGCCATTATTAAAGGTGATAAAAATGGTTACAAGAAAGCCAAAAAATTAAAGGGTCAGTTGCTTTTACCCAGAGTTTAGTGTTGCTGTTCTTCGAACTCATTATGAGAACTGGATCCAAAGGTAATCCAGTTATATTTTATCACAGGATGTATCAAAAAGATACCAAAATACCTAAAACAACAGTGGCTGTTTACCCAGTAAAGAGAAAGTGGAGTAAATAAAAGATCACTACAGTCTTTTGAAATAATCTAGATGATCTCTATGATCTTCTAATTTTTTTTTTTTTTTTTTTTTTTGGAGAGGTTTTTGCTATAGGGCACATGTACTCACCAGAAAGACAGAGAGACACAGCGAGAAATCACCCCCAAGGGGGATGGCCATGCTGCAATCCCTTCTGCTCCATTCTCTCGGGATCTTGGGCATGCATGCACATGTACCCGGCATGAGTTTAAGCAACCGGGTCCAGGACTCGAACCACAGTCAACTACGTGGGAGTCCAGCGACATGGCCATTATGCCAACTGCTGGTTCCATGATCTCCTTCTAATTTTAAACATTCACATCTTTCAAGACTGTCCCTTGAAAATAGTTCTTTTTGCAAAATTGCTAAAAGTACTCTGGGCTGCAGACTAAATATGTATGAAGTTCATTAATAGAATGGTAATAATTCAACAACTAATTCAACTTAATTATAGTTGAAAACCTCATTAGGCAAAATAAAATTAGATATACATAGCATCACTGCCTTTGCTGTGTGTGGAGATAACTTATTAGATTTTTTGGGTTGTAGGAAAAGTCATATGCATTTTTGCATAGAAAAACATATCAATAGAAAAATCTGTCATGACTTTTCCAATGACCCAATATTTTCATGTTTGGTTATGTTCATATAAAGTAGAGAAGCTGTGTCCCTAAAATAAGTATTTGCAATAAGGAAAATCTGAGAGCAACTGGAAATGTCACCCATTCTAAAAGGTATTTGTGGAGATAGGGGCATGTTTTTTAGGAGGTGGTGTTTAATGTAAAGCACAGATTATACTTTCTTAGAAAAAGAATTGTGAGAAGAAGAAATAGAAAGTGATGTGTTGATGTTTATATAAACATCTAGTCTCCAGGTACTTTCTGTTTTTCCCTCTTTCCACTTTGTTTTTGTCTTTATAGCTTTAAATTTAAAAATTAAGCCTTTGAATTAAGCATTTCTAATGAATCATATTGATTAATTTGTAAGTAAGTATAAACATTACAAGAAAGGCAGTAGATGATAACTGCTTTCTTGCCAAGACTGAAGTGAAAGCTCCAGGGCAGCAGCAAACTGAAGCAGATTCTTTGGGGATTTTCCATCTCAATTTGTCTTGAAGAGGTCTTCCAACTATTTAATGTCACAGAGCACCCATTTATGCTCACATCTCTCCTGTCTGCTGATATTGGTACATACATCACAAGGTTGGGGTACAGCTGATGTCACACACACACACACACACACACACACAAATCATTATGTGCTTTGGTCTTGAAGAAACTCGTTTAACTAATCAGTTCACTCAGGTTAAAGAAAAGCTCGAAATTACCTACCAAAATATGTTGGCTAATATTAAAACTATAACATTTATTTAGTGCTAAATTAGTATGAGGATTCATAATACCAAAAACAATGACCTGTTCCCCTCACAGATGGAGAGGACAGTTACCACAGAATACGAACTAGAATATCTACTACTCAAAGGACATTGCTTCGATACGCTGACAGAACAGCCTCCTCGGGGTCTGCAGTTTACACTGGGAACAAAAATAAACCTGTCATGGTTGATACAATAGTGATGGCTAATCTCGTAAGTACTATAAATATATAACTGATGATATTTAGTTTGACATTTTGGTGACGTTCTCCAAGTTCTCCTAATGACATGAACTAATGTTAGTATGGGTGCCACCAAGGCGAGCATCAGATGTAATCATCCTTATCCTATTACATTGTTGCTGAATAGCTTACAGTAAACAAAACTGAGTTGGAATGTCAAGGTAATTAAATAAAAATGGGGAGAATTATACTTTCAGAATATGCTTTTTTCATGTTATTATAAAATCTTCCTTGGAATCAAGTTGTAGAATGTATTCATTCCACAGTTAGTAAACCCCTTCTTGGTTGATCATTGTATAGTCTTTGGTGAACAGTTGAATATGTGTTTAGTCATATAATTCAGTGATCACTTTTTTCTAATCTTAAAAGGGATATTTTCAATTAAAAGCCAACCCAGGTGCTTGGATTCTGAAATTACGCCAAGGAAAATCTGAGGATATTTATCAAATAGTTGGGTGAGTTATATGAACCTCTTGTAAATTTCTGTGTTTTTTTTATGTGAATAAGCAAGATAATCAGAGAAACAGTCAAATTGTTAGCAAGACTGGGTTACATCCAGATGTCTGCAAGATGGTAGTACAGGACTTTCCAGTGCTCATCTTGCTGCACAAGCATCGATTTGAACAGCTGTCTGTACATGAAAATACCTTAATAAGAGCTTAGCAAACTAGGCACAGTATTACAACACCTGGGCGAAGCACAAGAATAAAAACAGATGCATTGAAATGTGTAGGAAAGAGTTTTATACCCCCTGCGCCACATCTCCCTTAACCCCAAGCAGCACAGTCTAGACAGAAATACTCTCCTCTTGGGAGAAAGAGGAAAATAAGTACTTGTCCTTGTCTTGAACCTCAATACCAAATTCATCTCAATAAAACCCAGTACCAGGTAGGCTTCCACAGTTCTAGACTACAGGCTGGTACCTGAGTCCTGAGCCACCAGGATTCAGACCTGAATCCTCCAGATTCAGGTACAAGGCCTGCTTGGAAGACTTTTTTCTTTCTTTTTTTTTTTTTTCCTGATGCTGTAATAGAATGCCACAGATTGGATAATCTTTTAAAAACAGAATTATTGACTCATAGTCTAAAGGCTAGAATGTCTAAGAGCACAGTGCTGGCACCTGGTGAGGGTCCTTTCATGGCAGAAAAGCAGAGAGCAGCAGTGAGCACACAAGACAGAATGAAGGCCCAACTTATCCTTTTGTCAGGAACCCACTCCCTCAATAATTAACCTAATCCTGGAAAAACATCATTAATTCATTCATGACAGCCTCTGCCATGACCTAATCCACCTCCTAACAGCCCTACCTCATAACACTGTTAACAATGGCAATTAAATTTCAACATGCGTTTTGGTAGGGGAGCATTCAAACCATAGCAGTCTTCAAGCCCACTTCACCTCCCAGTAGCCCCAAGGTCCCGACTCCTTCCAGTGCCAGACCAGGCTCTTCAGGCCTATCCACCCAGTCCTACAGCCCACAGCTTTAGGTTCACCCCAGAGCCAAGTCACTCCAAATGACCCGAGGCTTTAGACTCATAGACCTGTTGGGTCAAGGCTTTACATTTACCCTAGGCAGGACCAGTCACTATGGCCTCAGCTCCAGCAGACCCAGGGTGCAGTCCCACCCAGTAGACCTTAAGGAATTAGACAAAGAAGAATAGGGCATCAATGGTGGTGTTGCAGTAAAACACAAAGCTTTGAGAGGCAATTTCATATGAGCATGTTCCTAATTCAATTCTGGAGATCTCCGTAAGTATGCCAAGCATGTGACTGCTCATGATTTGAGGCTGGCTAAAGGCTGGAAGTGGATAACAGTCTGAAGGCCCTACTTGGGTTCTGTCTCTGTTCCTCTTGCTCATGAAAGAAAGAAAGAAGAAGAAACTAAGCCCAAAGTGTGTAGAAGGGAAGAAATAATAAATATTAGAACAGAAATGAGTGAACTAGAGGCAAGAAAAGCAACAGAAGAGTTCAGTAAAACTGTTGTTTTTTCAGGAACAGTAAACAAAATTGATATATCTTTAACTAGACTAAGAAAAAAAGACTCAAATAAATGATAAAGGAAACATTACAAGTGATACCACAGAAATACACGTGATCATAAAAGATGATGAACAATTATATGCCAACAAATTGGATAACCTAGAAGAAATGGGAAAATTCCTAGATGCACCCTTTTAATACTGGATTATTAAGAAGTAGAAAATCTGAACAGGCCAATAAAGAGTCAGGAAACTGAATTACAAATAAAAAACCTCCCATCATAGAAAAGCCCAAAAACTGACAGTTTCATTGCTGATTTCTATTTACCAAACTTTTAAAGAATCAATACCAACCTTTCTCAATCCCCTCCCAAAAAATAGAAGTGGAGGGACTACTTCCAAACTAGTTTTAGAAGGTCAGCATTACTCTGATACCAAAGCCAAGCAAGAACAGTACAAAAAAAATCATAGGCCAATATCCTTGATGAACATGGACACAAAAGTCTTCAACAAAATGCTACCAAAACAAATTCAATAGCACATTAAAAGAATCATTCAATATGATCAAATGGGATTTATTCCAGGGATGCAGGGATGGTTCAACATTGGCAGATCTACATCATGACATACCACATTATCAGAATGAAGGATAAAAACTATGTGATTTTCTCAGATGCTGAAAAAACATTTAACAAATTCAACATGTTTAATGATAAAAATCCAGAACAAATTTGATTAAAAAAAAAGCAGGAATGGCCCTTAAAACACTAAAAGTCATGGGGGCCAGCAGGTGGCATGGTGATTAAGGCTCTGGACTTCCACATGGCCAACCACATTTGAGTCCCAGACCTGGTGGTTTGCTTCCTCGTATTTCCTCTCTCTGTCTCTTATCTAGTAAGCACATGTGGCTTATAGCAAATTTTAACATAATAATAAATAAAATAAAATCTTAAAATGACTAAAGGTCATCTGTGACAAGCCAAAGCTATCATATTCAGTGGTGAAATTTGAAAGCTTTTCCTCTAAACTGGGCAGGATGTCCATTCTCACCACTTCTATCCAACATAGTACTATAAGTCCTAACTAGAGCTATTAAGCAAGCGAAAGAAATAGAAGACATCCAAATTAGAACTAATCGAATTATCCATGTCTGCAGACGTGTATGTATGATCTTATACACTGAAAATTCTAAGGATCCCACAAAAATGTTACAGAACTAATAAATGAATTTCAGGTCCATATATATTCACATTACATGTAATGGCCTTCTTTATCTCTTTTTACAGTTTTTGAATTAAGGTCTAGGGACCAGCAGTTGGCATAATGGCTATGTCGCTGGACAAAACCCTTGGGGTTTTGGACATACATGCACATTCACTCAGCGTGTTTTTCAAGCCACTGTGTCTGGGACTCAAATCTTGGCCATGCGGGCTCCAGCCACCTTCACCACCATGCCACTAGCTGGTCACATAATGTTTTTTAAAGCAATTTTTGCTATAGAGCATGTTCACACACCAGAGAGACAGAGACCGAAAGTGAGAAATCACTCCCCAGGGAGGATGGCCACACACAATCCAGTCTCCTCCATTCTCCTCTTGGGATTTGGGCATGTACGCACACACACGGTATGACTTTCAAGCCACCGGGTCCAGTACTTGAACCATGGTCGACCATGTGGGAGTCTCGTGATGTAACCATTATGCCATATGTTGGTCCCCCCGTAAATATTTTTAACAATAGAATTTTTAGTGCATGGGGACCAGCAGTTAGCATAATGGCTATGTCACTGGACTCCCATGTAGTCGACCACGGTTCATGTCCCAGACTCGGTGGCTTAAAACTCATGCCGGGCACGTGTGCGTGCGTGCCCAAGATCCCAAGAGGAGAATGGAGGAGAAGGGATTGCAGCGTGGCCATCCCCCCTGGGGGGTGATTTCTCACTTTCTACCTCTCTATCTCTCTCTGGCGAGCACATGCGCCCTATAGCAAAAACTTCTCCAAAAAAAAAAAATTTAAAAAAAAGAATTTTTAGTGCATAGTGAGAATAGTTTAAGAGTTACTGAACACAGCTGTCATATTTGATTTTTGAAGTAATTTTGAAAATTAGAGAATGAGCTGTGTTATGTACAATATAAAATAGAAATCTTAAAGTGATGCAAATAGACATCATAAACACATTTTCAGTCTCATGAGCTTAACAATGTGTGTCAAACATTGGCATCTGAAAATGGCTGGAAGAGGGCCTCCTGGAGCTTAGTGGTTAAGAGAGCCAAATCCCACATGGCTGACAGCATTGGAAATCCCAACTTTTGTTGACTTGAAAAACACGTTGGGTGCATGTGCATCTTTGTCCAAAATTCTCATAGCATGGGGAAATGGAGAAAAGGGATTGTCACATGACCATGTCCCACTAAGAGGTGCTTTCTCTGCTTTCTCTGGCAAGTTCATGTGCCCATTACAATTAAAAAAAAAGAAAGAAAGAAAAATGGCTAGTGGATATTTATAGATGTTGAGTGTAGGATTCCTTTGATATATAAACACCTTCTAAGTCTAGAAAATTTTTCACGTTTTAATTATCATTGCACTATATTAGAGATATGATAAATTGAAATTTAAAGAGTTACTTTTTTGTAACTTTAATTTGTATTAATTTAAAAATTATTGGCTCATTTTGAAAATACAATGTATTATATCTAAATTGACTAATGAAAGGCAAACATATATACACATGCAATATTGTACTTAGGTTTATTACAAAATGAATTTATTCTATCTATACCATTAAAATTATATGTTTATTCTTTAATTAATTACAGATATTTATGTTTTTCTACTTTCAGGCATAAAGGAACTGACTCTGAACCAGAATTAGAAGATGTCATTGTTGTATTAAACAGCTTCAAAAGCAAGATCCTTGAAGTGCAAGTGCGTGAAGCAGAATTATTTTAGAGCCTTTGTTTCTAATATTAAGAATTATTCTTTCTGTCCTTAAGTAGTTGATTTACATTTATTTCACAACTAATTTTACAGTTTTACCACCTAAAATTTTGTATTAAAATTCTAGTAGTAAAGGGAAATAAAAAGATTAAGTTCATGAAGGGAGAGCAGAACTTGAAGATAGGAGAGAAAGAATGATTGTTGTTAAGTTATGATATAGCTACTAGATCTACCAATCTAAGATAACGGGAGTGGGCTTAAAACTGACTCTGCTATCCACTAGTTGTGTGAACTTAGAGAAATGACTTAACCTCTGTCTCATCTTCCTTACTTGTAAAATGAGGATAACAATTGAATCTACCTTATAGGACTGTTATGAGGATAAGCTAGTTTGGCTTTGAAAAGTACTTCATAAGAGTGTGTTGAATGGTGAATTTGTTTCGTGAGGCAGTGAGAGAGGCATGTCCCCTAACAGGTTCTCATGCCATGATCCTTCCTCAGCCCTCCAGTCGTCAGGCATGTTCAGGTAGATCCAGGATCCAAACCCTAGACTTTCCCATGTGGCTCTTTCTTTGAACGATGGCACTCTACTACCTGTGCCACCTCGGCTGGCTGAAGGCCACACATTCTTAAGACTTGATAAAAGATAGCAATTACAACCATTCTATGACCTAGCCAAACCTAGGTCATATCTTAGATTTTCCTACTCCATTCTCCATGTCTTTTTTTTTTTTTTAAATACTGACTTTTTTAGGGACCAGCAGTTGGCATAATGGCTATGTCGCTTGTTTTCTAATACAATTTTTTTTCTAATACAATTTTATCTGCTAACCATTCATATCTCAGAATTACAACAAAAAGGCAGAAAAAAGTTAGAAGAAAGGTAAGCAGCATAGAGGATGATTCCATGAAGTTCAGTATCCCGTTAAGGAATTCCAGAAAGAAAGAACAGAGAAAATGGAGACAGGACGGTATCCTATACCTAAAGTCAGAGAAAAATGTTAATGTCAAAATAGTCCACAGTCAAATAAGATGAGTTAAAACGTCCCACCTAAGACTCCAATAGCTACTGAAGAGAAAAGGCAATTCACTATAATAGAACAGCACTAACACCAGCATCAGACTTTTCATTTTCAAAATAGATGTTAAAAGGCAGCCAGATCCTGCAGTGTTCTGGAGGGAGGGGAGGGATTATTTGGAACCTAGGGTATGTAGCCAATTTCTTAATCAAATGTGAAGTCAAAATAAAGTTATTTTCTGAAGTGTGAAGATTTAGAAAAATTTTTTCACACCACTTCTTGAGGTGGTTTGCTCTCATAATGATGATGAAGACCAAAAAAAAGATAGTTTAAGATATGGTGAAACTAATCTGTAAACCAGTGAAAAGAAAGTTCAGAAATAAACAGGTAATTAATCGTTGAGCTCTAAAAAAATGTCTCCAGGAAGGTAGGTATTCCAGACCACTATTTAACATGAGTAATAAACTGTAAAATATTAAAATATTATGGGTAATGAAGACACATACAGATATGTGAATCTCCGATATGTGAATCTCCCTGCAAAAAAAAAAAAAAAAGACATTAAAATTCCAAGAAAAATATTTCTCTTTTGGTGAAATTTAGGGAAGAATGCATTTGAATTAGCAAGTGTCTCCTCTGATACTCTCGTCATTGAAACTACACAGAGGAAGTACAGCTTTGGTAGCCTTTCAGACACATTAAAGGATACTATTTGTGTTGCCATAGTAAGTACCAGTCGCTAATTTTCAAGTTTTAGAATGACCATAGCAAAATGCAAAGGACACAGTTATGCTTACCAAACTAAACATTAAGTGTTACCTGTATTTACAAGTGCTAAAGTAAAGGTTTAACCAATGCAAGTTGGGAGGCAGAGGGAAAGGGTAGAGGTATTAGTATCCTTGCCGTATGAACAGTGCACAGGAGCAATTGTTGAAAGAGTTAAAATAGAAAATGGGAAATGGAAATATTATTTCAAGTCATAAAAGATATTCGGTGGAAAAGCTGAAAATGTTACTTCCAGAACTTCCAGACCAAGAGAGAAAAGGAGGGGTGATAAAAGTGAGCTACTTCTCTGTCATCACAAAGTGAATAACCTCTAAACTCTGCGAATACAGACTAATCTCATTATATCTGGAGTTAGTTCATCAATAAATATAGATATCAACACATTTTTTAGCAGTAGAGAAGGAACCACCAAAAAAACTAAAAACAGGAATCTAAATTGGTAGTTGAAGGTTAGATTGTGTCTGTAATTTTGTGCTAAGATATTACCTGGCTTACTGCACCTGGCTGATTGAAGAGTAATCTTGCCCAGCGTGTTTCACTCTCTGACCATAAAGCTGCTAATTCTAAAATTTTTCTCTATGATGTTATCTAGGTACAAAAGAAACCAGATAGAATTAAGGAAGATATCCTTACTGAAAAAGATGAAAAAAGAAAAGGAATGTGGGATTCCATTAGGAGGTAATTGCTAATGATATTTTACCACAAAACTTCAGAGTCATCAGAAAAGTCATGATGCATTTTTGCATAGAAAAATATGTCATGATTTTTCCAATGACCCAATACAATGATGAAGGGTATAGTATGTGGAAAACCTGAGGATGGTAAAAATTAAAACACAGATCCTCTTCTTTAGGAGGGATAAGATAGATACGTAAATCTTAACAGCATAGGAGCAAGAGTCGTAAGGCAACTGTAAGTGTTACATAGAAACCAAAGGAGAAAAAAGATATATCTAGTTAGAAGGAAAGTTAGAAAAGACTTCATGGAGAAGCATGTGGCTAAAATGTGTTTTAAAGGACAGGCAGATTTTGAAAAGCTGGAGGTCGAGTGTAGGTACCAAGTTGCAGAGAGATGGAAAGATTGGGTATTCTCCTCAAAGAACTCAAAGTAGCCAGCTAAGCTGCAGTATCCAATATAATAGGAAATCTGTAAATTAGGTTGGGCCTATACTAGTTATATCATCAATCAAAAAAAAGAAAATACTGGCTCACATATCTAAAGAATCCAGGAGTAGATCTGACTTTGGACATTCCAGTAGTAATGTCTGGAAACTTTCTCCATTTCTTAGTATTAATAGTTCTGTGTCTCCTTCATTTTCATACTTTTACAGGTAACTGTTTCCCATCTCCAGTGGAAATGTTTCCTCTTTCCAAATGCCCACCAGGATATTCAATAGCTGACTCATTGGTTCAGCTCTAGCCATGGGTCCCAAACTAAACTGATCACTGTGATTCCGGCTGACCAGATTTGGGATATAGGCCTACCTCTAATGCCAGGGGGAAGGCTTGTCCCACTTAAACCTCATAAAATGAAACTACAGGAGGAATGACTCCCCCAGAATACCAGATTGTGGTTACTAGAAGGGCAAAGGATATAGGGCAGATAAAATCAAGATCAGCCTGCTGTAGATTCACAATGTAGAGACTTTGAAAGTCCATTTGAGAGAGCTTAACTTAATTTGAATTATAGTAAATAATGGATCATTTCATCAAAGATGAGAAATAGAAATGTTAGACCACATAAGGCAACAGCCTTAGCAGATTTTTCTCCCATCATTTTGGATTTTGCCCCATCTAGGCTTCTTTTTCTATAGTTGACCCCTTATTTGGTAAAAAGAGAGAATATTTATGTACTCAGTATGTGCATTGAATTGGATATTGACAAAGAATCAAAATAATTCATTTTGAGATGATTTGAAGGAAAGGAAACTAATCAGGGCATTTTTGAGAGTGTCTGTCCAGGACCTTCATAATGGGGAGCCTATATCTGGTCAGAGGGCTTATAAACTGTAGACGTTTCCTACAGCACTGTAGCTTGAAGGAGCCCCTGAAGAACCTTCTTTGTCAACCACATAAATTCTTGTGCCACAGTTACACACTTCCGTGCTCTGTTTCTTCCTCCACTATTGGCCATTGAAAGTTGTAACACACTAGATATGGCCATGGCAGGCTGTAATGCATTCTTCGTTGTCAGAACAACTTTGAGCCACTCACAAAAAGATAAAAACTAACCTTGAAACAATATAATTATATTTCACATTAATAGATTTTAAAAAAAAGCTCACAAAAACAAGTGATATTAGTTGTCATGTGTTATAATATCAATAACTCATAACTGTTAGGATAAGAATTTGTTCACAGTTTAGTAACTATTCCTTTTGAAAGATGTGCCTGTTTTTATTGCTAATCAAACAGTGTTTTATTTAAGCATATAAAGTTTATTTGAAACTATTACTATTTTTTTATTCCAAGTTTCACAATAAGGTTGCATAAAGAAAACAAAGACGAAAAAGACGTCCTGAACATTTTTTCAGTTGCTTCTGGCCATCTGTATGAACGCTTTTTAAGGTAGATATTTTTTGTATCATTTTGAAAAGTAGTACATTTGCACAGTCCAAAGTTCAGAGAAAAATAAAAGAATATATATAATGAAGAAGAAAATCTCCCAGCTCTCTT